ACATAAGATGACATTTTCACAGGTTCCGGGGATTAGAACATGAACATCTTTGAGGACCTACTTATTCAGCCTGCTGCAGGGTGGGACCAGGCTTAGGAGTCTGAAGGTGCTGACAGTCCCAGCCACTTGAGAGTGATCGAGGCAATCCCCAATTATCCTTCCTAAAGTCGTGGTTCTATTAATATTCACTTATCCACATTAATCCAATGGAGCACTGGCTGTCTCATATCAGGAATTTCCAAGAACACACGTGCAGATGCCTTCAGAGGGTGGCTTGTCCCAGGGTTTCTTGCACTGACTAGCAGCCTTTGCCAGAGATCACTTTTCATACTTTATTTCATCTGTCAATAAATGTGAATTTCTTGTTTTCACATCATCCACGCCATGTGAAGCCATCCAAAGGTGAGAAGAAAAGTTCAAAGCTTTACGTATTGCATGAAAAGAAACTGGTTACACAGATAATTGGGGTGTCAACTCCATCAGGACCAGGTAACATTAAGACCCCATAGGCAGCTTTACCATTTGCAAAACATTTTCCTGTCCATTATCTCATTCGGTTCACACAGTGGATCTGGAGGCAGTCAGAGCAAGTGTGATTTTTTTTTTTAATCACCATTTTACAGATGAAAAAACTGACCAGGAGAGCTTTAGTAACTCACCCAAGGTCACAGAGCTAATCAACTGCACAGCTGTAACTCAGTCCTTGGACTCCAGTTCCAGCGGTCATGTCCTCTCCACCACACTGACTCTCAAAGCTCTGAGGAGCTGATATGCAAAGCAGAGACAAATTTTAAGCCCATCTCGTCTGAGTCTTAATTGGACCTGTCATTTCTAAGGAGGCAGCATGAAGCCATGAAAAGGGTTTAGACTTAAGGGTCAGGCAAAGCCACTTTCCACATCTGTGTAACTTGGGGGTGATAAATTAAGCTTTAATGAAGTGTTTTCCAAACTAGCCTGATCATTAGAAACCCCTGAAGTGATGGTTAAAAATACAGATTTTCATGTTTCCCCCAAGAATAGGATTCCGTAGGTCCAAGGGAGGGACAAAGACTTCTGGATTTATCATAAGCCTGCCTGGTGGTTCTTATAAGCAGTCAAATTTGGGAAATAATCACCCACAGGATTTTTGTGTGAATTAAATGAAATGATGTATGTATCAAGCACCTGGCACTGTGCCTGCCACAGGAGTCCTTCGTCAACGTCAGGTTTCTTTTCTTTGCCCCGCCTTTATCAGGGCATGTTCCATCTTTCCATTTCCTTACATTTGGTTATTAAAGGTAAGGAGACAAGCTTGTTTCCAATGCATATACAAAGTTCCAGAATATTCTCATAGAATAGATAGCCATGGGTAGATGGGGTAAATGGGATGAAGCCTTTGGGTAATGGCAGTAAGTGGTCACTTAAAGAATCCCCTGGGTTTATTGGATTCCCTTCATTTTCTGCATTAAATGTATTTCACCATCCCCTTTCACCTTTATCCAGGGAGCAGGAGTATCTAGCCCAATGCATTTATTTTACTTATCTGCTGATTTATAAAATCCACCTTCTGCCTTGAGCCCCGAGTACATTATACTCATACAAACAATAAACCCCATATAATCAGTCTTGTCAACCAAAACACATCTCCCGAGATAAATTTAGCCTCCTCACGGTGGCAAGGGGAACTTTCATTTTGCCAGCGGGTTCAGCATGTGCCTTGGTCCAACTCTCAGAATAAACATGCACATAAATCCACCTGGCCTCCCATCTTATCAGTGTGGCTGCCCAATCACATCTTTCTTAGAAACCCGATGGCAGACTCTGCCTGGAAAAGGAATGGCTGCTTGAGGGCCAGAGTTTCAAGAGTCTTCTTCCCCAGGTCAGGCTCTGCAAAAAAAATGTTGTCCCCCACCTAGAGAACAGGGGCCATGTATTTCTGTCTAGTCCCCAGGATCGAATGGAGTGCATGGCATTAAGGGAAAACATGGTATGTTGTATTTACAGATTTATGGTCAAAATTTTTGCTAAGACAAAAATCAAAGCAACCCTGCATTTATCTCTTCCTCTCAAGTAGTCACAAATCAGAAAGTCGCATACCTCATGTTCCCACGTCTAAGTGGAAGCATAATAATATGTACCCATGGATGTACAGTATGGACTTATCGACACTGGAGACTCAGAAGGGTAGCAGGGGGAGGGATGAGAAATTACCTGATGGCTGCAATGTATGTTATTTGGGTGATGGTTACACCAAAAGTCCATACTCACTACCACACAATATATCCATGTGACAAAACTGCAGTTATACCCCTTATATTTGTATACTAAGATAAACAGCCACAACTTATTTTTCTCTCACCTTAAACAAGTGGTCTCAATTGAGGACCATATTGCCTTCCAGGGGACATTTGGCAATGTCTAGAGACAGTTGCGTTATCATAACTGGGAGTTCTACTAGCATCTCTAGTGGGTAGAGTTCAGGGATACTATCAGACATCTTACAATGCACAGAGTACCCCCCACAACAAAAAATTATTCAGCCCAAAATATGAACAGTGCCAAGGTTGAGAAGCTATGCCTTACATCAACCAATGTCACAGGTGGCTAAAATTGGTTCCCCTCTAGTTTTCCCACCTGCTATTCTGATACCAACAGCAGCACTGATGGCATCAGAAAATCAGTTCATGTTCATTGAAGTAGAGAGAGAAGGAAACTCATTCACAGAGCGCCACTAGGGGCCCCAGTAGTGTGCTAAGCCTGCCCCCAGATTATCTCAATCAATACTTAAAACAATCTATTACCATACCCATTTTGCAGATCAGAAAATAAGAAAATTTAAAATAACTTGCCCAGGTGTCCCCAGCTAGGAAGAGACAAAACTGAACTCATACCCAGCTCTTTCTGACTGCAGATTAAGGCTGGAAGACTGGTTGTGAATAATGGTCATTGACCTTTACCCATCATGCAAATCTTACATTTCATAGGCACTATAAATATCCCTTACAATATAGATTCTCTTTGGATTTGTGCACTAACCTGTCATTCTGGCTCTCCTGGAATGTGCGGCGGGGAGAGGTCAAAGTCTTTTGGTCTCACTGCCAAGGAACAGCATCAATCCACCTTCTTGCTTGGTCTCCATTCACCACTATCTAAGAGGGTTCCATTCCCTTCCTCCAAGACTTTTCATTTCTCAACCTATGGTCATTCCACACCATGGAAGAGTCCTCAGCCTGTGTGTTATTGAGGGTGCTGTTGACATTCAGGAGAGGACATGTGACCTTGCCCAGAACTATAGTCTTCTGTATTCCACTACAAATCCTTTAGCATTCTTGACTCCTGGGCAGTAAATATTAGGAGATGTCTTCTAAGTATTACGACAACCCAGACACTTCCAAACACTCCCAGGGGAGTAGGGTGTGGGATTGTCACTCCCCAACTTTGAGAACCACAGGGTTCCAAATTCTCACCCAGAAATCCACTGTTATACCTGGGTTTCATTATTGCTCACAGATACACATGTAGTCCACCATCCACTTGCCCAGTTGGGAACCAGAGTTTCCATGTGTCAGATCATTTCTTTTTCCCATTCAGAGGGGAGCTGGCAGTCTGGAGAGCAACCTGGCTTGGTAAGGGTTTTGATACTGAGATCAGCAGTCATGCCACCTGCTTTGCTTACTTCTGGGCCTGTGCACTCACTAGATTTCCTTCCTCCTCAAAGGCTGCCACTCAGATCTTACCCACTGGCCAACCTAATCAGATGCTCTTTCTTCATGAAGTCTCCCCTGATGAATCTAAATGATCTCTTCCTCTCTCCTGAAATCCCCTATTCCTTTATACCAAGCATAGAATTTTTTTTCCCACAAAGGGCCAGATAGTAAATATGTTAGGCTTTGTGACCATATGGTCTCAGTTGCAACTACTCAACTCTGCCTTTGTAGTGGGAAAGCAGTCATAGGCAATATACAAACAAATAGGGGTGACTGTTGCAATGAAATAATGCTCAAATTTGAATTTTATGTAATTTTCAGTTGTCCTGAAACAGGCTTCTTCTTCATTTGTTTTGGTTTTTCCCCAGCCATTTAAAAATGTATTACCATCCTTAGCTCATAGGCCAAAAATAGGCTGTTTGCTGAAATCTGTTGTACAGCATCACCTTTTTACTGTGGTTATCACATTCTAACACCTCAAACTAGGACCACAGGCTTCACCTCAGTACTCTTACACAGTCTCAGACCCTGCCCCAGACATAATGAATCTGAATCTGCATTTTAACAAGATTGCCAAAGGATTCATGTGCACAGTACGGTCTGACATGCAATACTGTGGTTTACTGTACACTTGTGTCCAGGTCCCCCACCCCCATCAATAAATGGTAAACTCTTTGAGGGTAAAGAATGACTACTATACAAGTAAGAAATGCAATTGCTTTGGAGCATGAAGGAGCGAATGAATGAATGGAGAAAGCTTAAGTCTACAGGCAGTCCTTGTCCTTCTTTCCTTTCATTCTATTATTAGTCTCTCCCAAAAGCTTAGTTTCCTATTTGCTGGCTAATCCATTAGGGAAGGAGAGGGCTTACTGTACCTAATACTTTCTTTGCTAATTAAGATAAAGAGAGAGACAGGAACTTGGAGGAGACTTCAGATCATCCCAAATTGTTTAATGGAGAAGAACTGCCAATTTTATGCTCCTGGATCTGTCTCTCAGGAGAACTTGCCTGTATCCTTCTCCTTCACATTTTTCTCTTGACTGCATTAAACCATTGCTATGGCCCTGTCTTACAGTTCACCTGTCTTAGAAGCAACTGAGTTATCAATAACTTTCACAGTTCCTGATTTTTGCCTGAAATCCATGGACCAGCAAGGCCAAGTTAATGACCACATGCACTTACTGGAGGGCTGCTTATTCTTCATCAGTTCCCCACATGGACTGAGGGATTTTCAGTTACAGCCAGAAGCAACAGAAGTAAAATTTTTTTAAATGACTTTGCTTTTCAGGAATAACTAAATCAGTTGTTCAGGCTCAGCCTTTCATCTTTTATTGTTCTGTAAACAAATATACATATATATTTTTCGTTTTTTCATTTTAATAGCATAAAAATAACCATTTTTTATACATATATTTTATTGCACTTTAGGTTCTGGGGTACATGTGAAGAACATGCAAGATTGTTGTATAGGTACATACATGGCAACGTGGTTTGCTGCCTTCCTCCCCATCACCTATATCTGGCATTTTTCCCTATGTTTTCCCTCCCCTAATTCCCCACCACAGACCTCAGTGTGTGATGCTCCCATCCCTATGTCCATGTGTTCTCATTGTTCAACACCCACCTATGAGTGAGAAAATGCAGTGTTTGATTTTCTGTTCTTGTGTCAGTTTGCTGAGAATGATGGTTTCCAGGTTCATCCATGTCCCTATAAAGGACACAAACTCATCGTTTTTTATGGCTGCATAGTACTCCATGGTACATATGTGCCATATTTTTCCTGTCCAGTCTATCATCAATGGGCATTTGGGTTGGTTCCAAGTCCTTGCTTTGTAAACAGTACTTCAGTGAACATTCGTGTGCCTTTGTACTTATGATAGAACGATTTATAATCCCTTGAATATATACCCAGTAATGGGATTGCTGGGTCAAATGGAATTTCTATTTCTAGGCCCTTGAGGAATCCCCACACTGTCTTCCACAATGGTTAAACTAATTTACACTCCCAACAACAGTGTAAAAGTGTTCCTATTTCTCCAGATCCTCTCCAGCATCTGTTGTCTCCAGATTTTTTAATGATCGCCATTCTAGCTGGCGTGAGATGGTATCTCAATGTGGTTTTGATTTGCATTTCCCTAATGACTAGTGCTGATGAACATTTTTCCTATGTTTATTGGCCTCATGTATGTCTTCTTTTGAAACGTGTCTGTTCATATCCTTTGAATGGGCTTTTTTCTTGTAAATCTGTTTTAGTTCTTTGTAGATTCTGGATATTGGCCCTTTGTCAGATGGGTAGATTGCAAAAAATTTTTCCCATTCTATTGGTTGTCAGTTCACTCTGATGATTGTTCCTTTTGCTGTGCAGAAGCTCTGTAGTTTAATTAGGTCCCATTTGTCTATTTTGGCTTTTGTTGCCAATGTTTTTGGTGTTCTAGTCATGAAGTCCTTGCCTATGCCTATATCCTGAAAGGTTTTGCCTAGATTTTCTTCTAGGGTTTTTACGGTGTTAGGTCTTATGCTTAAGTCTTTAATCCATCTGGAGTTATTTTAGTAACCATTTTAAAGTGAAAAATGTAATGGCACTTAGCAGTCATTATGTTGTGCAACCACCTTTATCTAGTTCCAAAATATTTCATCACTCCAAAAGGAAACTCCATTATCTATTAAAGTCACTCCCATTTCTCCCTTCCTTAGCTTCTGGCAACCTGTCTCTATAGATTTACCTGTTCTAGAGTTTTTATATTATTATACATTATGTGGGCACTTTTTTGTCTGGTTTCTTTCACATAGCATGTTTCCAAGGTTCATCCATATTGTAGCATGTATCATAATTTCTTCCTTTTCATGGCAGGATAATACTCCATTTCATGGGTATACCACGATTTGTCCATTCATTCATTGATGGACATTGGGGTTGTTTCTACCTTTTGGCTATTGTGAACAATGCTGCTATAAACATGGGTGTACAGTTTTCAGTTTGGGTACCTATTTTCATTTGGTGGTATCAGGGGTATACACCTAGGATTGGCATTACTGGGTTATACAGTAATTATATGTTTAACTTTTTGAGGCACCTACCAGATTGTTTTCCACATTTTTTAACTGAGCACTTAACCTGTACCAAGCACTGAGTTGAAGAGTTCACAAACTAGTGCACTGGGATGACAACATCTAGAGCCAAGAGGAGACAGAGGGCCAAAGTAGCGAAGAAGTCTTTAGGAATTTGTGACAGTACTCTCTCGCTCCACCCTGTCTCCCTCTTTCTATGCACATATTTTTTAATTCAGCGATAATTAATTACAGTAATAACCACTTATATTAGTTCATTCTCACATTGCTACAAAGAAATGCCTGGGACTGGGTACATTACAAGAAAAGAGGTTTCATTGGCTCATGGTTCTGCAGGCTTTACAGGAAGCATGCTAGCATTTGCTTCTAGAGGGGCCTCAGGGAACTTAGAATCATAGCAGAAGACAAAGCAGGAGCAGGTGTCTTCATATGGCTGGAGCAGGAAGAAGAGCACAAGGGAGGAGGTACTACACACTTTTAAACAACAAGATAGTATCAAAAGAACAGCCCCCAGTGGATGGTGCTAAGCCATCATGAGAACTCTGCCCACATGATCCAGTGACCTCCAACACTCGGTATCACAGTTGAACATGAGATTTGGGTGGTGACAGAGACCCAAACCATATCACAACCATTTATTGAACAAATAGTATTCTACATAATAGATATTATTAACCCATTTTGCAGGCTCAAGTAGCAGAATTGGAATTTGAACCCTGGTCTATTTGACACCAAAATGTATGCTCTTTCAACACCCTACTACATTGCCACTTCTTGACAGCAGAAACAGGGAAGGCTTAAAACAAACCCCAAATATCAAATCGAGGCTGCTGTTGGCACTCTGTGGCTGTGAACTCTGTGGTAGACCCATCATCACACATGCAGGCTGGCCTGGGTGGCAAAGAAGAGCACAGTCTCAGTATTACTAACATGACACTGGATTATTTCTGCTGTGACAAATTAAGAGCCCCTGGCATGACATGGAACTGAGGTGACTCTGCCTGGAAATGATAGGGTTTTACAGTTAGTTGTAAGTGAAGTGGATGCACATAACTTGCTAAAAATAGGAAGTGTTGCATATGATTCACTGTCTTTAAATTAGAGCAGATTCAACGCTATCTCTAAAGCAGTATCTGTCGCTCACTTTGCAGCCAATAGTGTTTCTGATGTGAGAGCAACAAGGATAACACTGCACCTACATCTATCTCCGAGCTTCTCAATCTTGAGTAATCATCAGAACCACCTAGAAGGCTTCTTAATAACAGATTCCTGGACCTCACCCCCAGAAATCCTGGTGCAGTAGGTCTGGGCAGCGTGCCAGATTCTGCAGGTCTAATATGCTCTTAGGTGATGCCACTCATAGCAGACAATCAGAGTGGCGTAGGAAGGAAAAATAAGAGCAAGAGGGACAACTGTGACAGATTCCCAAAGATGACTTGAACTACTCCAGCCCTCTGGTCTCCTCCTGCCTCTAGATGTTCACTCTGCAAGTACACTATCTTGTGAATTCTTCAACTCAGGGCCTGGCACTCATAAGTCCTCAATTTTAAAATATAGGAAAACAATTTGGTGGTTCCTCAAAAAGTTGAACATAAACTTATCATATAACCCAGCATCCCAGTCCTAGGTATATACCCAAAAGAACTGAAAACAGCTACTCGAACTAAAACTTGTACACACATGTTCACAGACTCCGCTTTAAGTAGCACTAGCCAATCTTATTTGTGCCAAGACTCCCAATAACCAGCCATTGCTGACTTATGATTAATACTCAGGACATTGCAAGCATCACACCACTTCATGCCCCTATAAGATATGTGTAGATCCTTCTCAAAAGCAGAGTATTTCCATGGGAGTGTCTCTCACTCTCTTGCATGTGTCCAAGTAAGAGAAAATTTTATTAGGTTAGTATAAAAGTAATTGCTAATAGAACCTAATAGAACCACTGATTCAGAGAATTAGAAGGTTTTTTTTTGTCTGTGTGAGATGCAGTTTTGCTCTTCACCCAGGCTGGAGTACAGTGGTGCAATCTCGGCTCACTGCAACCTCCACCCCCAGGGTTCAAGCAATTCTCCTGCCACAGATGCCTGCCCCCACACCTGACTAATTTTTGTTTTTTTGAGGCAGAGTCTCGCTCTGTCACCAAGGCTGGAGTGCAGTGGCATGATCTCAACTCACTGCAACCTCAGCCTCCTAAGTAGCTGGGACTGCAGGTGTGTGCCACCACACCTGGCTAATTTTTGTATTTTTAGTAGAGATAGGGTTTGGCCGGGTTGTTCTTGAACTCCTGACCTTAGGTGATCCACCAGCCTCAGCCTCCTGAAGTGCTAGGATTACAGACATGAGCCACTATGCCCAGCTGCTAATTGGTAATTTTAAAGGGCATGGATCCCATTCACATTGCTCAGGCCACAGAATAATGACAATTATGCTAATTACTCCTCCAAACCTCATGGCAGTTTGGGGGACTGTGGTTTTCCCTCCACCAAGCACCTCCATGGGCAATGTCCTCTGCAAAACTACGCTTTCTTACCTCCTTGCCTCTTCAGAAATTATCTCTTACAAAGGAATGCACAGCTTTCTGGAGATGGTTCTGTTTATTTAAGGCAACCAGGGGCAACAGGCTGTGTGCTAAAGATGAAACGGGAGCTGTGTTAATTTCATGTTAATGACAGCAGAGCAATTTTCTTGCAGGAAATAACTAGTTACCTTAATCATTTTAAGTAGTTATTAGCAGCAACCTAAAAAGGATGGCTATGCTTATCACAATACACACACAAAGGAAATGAAGACATGAATAACAAGACCTTAAACAGACTTCTGGCATCTTCCTTCTGGGTGGTATTAAATGGTATTAATCTTTTTAACTGACTTCAATCCTGAGTCCACAGCCATGTGATAAAATGTTAAGTGAACTTCTGGAAATAGAGGTGGTTTCCCCAGATTTATTGGGCCAATTTACCAGCAGTGGAAGAGCACACCACTGAGAAGAGCCAAAGAAAGAATGACAGGTAGATGTATGGATTAATTAATATAATGCAGATAATAACATCTTTTCCAATATTAATACTTCTTCAGAGGCTGCTCTATATATGTCTCTGGGAAAGAAAAAAGCTAGAATATATTTTTTGTTGTTTCATCCCATCCCCCACTCCCTCACCAGATAACGATCAGAGTTAAGAAATGAATAAAACTCAGACAACTTTATCCAGGCCACAGCCACACAATAAAAAAGAAAAAGTAGCCACACAGGAAGAATAAAGCGCTTGTTCAAGGGTTTTACAGTTTAAAGACATGTTAAGTAATTTTTTTCCTAAGTAAGAGGACTGTTTTTCTTCCCTGAGGTGGTTGTGCTTGTGAAAGGAATCAGCTGGATCAATTCAGGAAAAACCATCTACATCAACAAAGTATATTTAATGCATATGATGTGTCAGGAGCTGTGCTAGGTCCTGGGGAAATAATTTCTATAAACCACTGTCCGGCCCTCAAGCAATTCTCATTTTACCTGGGAGATGCCCTATACACAAATAATTGCAATATGGAGCAGTTGAGGCCTTAACAGAGGTATTTTGCGGGCGTGGTGGTGACAGAGAGGTATGCATGAGCTTCTCTACCTGCAGGGTGAAGCCTGAGCAGGGTTTTGAAGGACGAGTAAGAGTTTCCCAGATGAACCTGGGGGAAGGACATTCTAGGAGGAGGGGAAGGTGTGTTTACAGATACGGATGTGCAAACAGCCAGGTCCACCCAGGAAAATGCAGTGGCAGGAAGGTGAATGGTGAGGCTGGAGGTCATGGAGGGCCTTTCAGGGTGGCTAAAAGAGCCTGGACATTGGCCAGAGGAACCTAAGGTGCCACCGAAGGATTTCCTATGCAGGGAAGTGAAATGTTTAGTCCTAGAGCCATCACAATGGCTATGGAGAGACTGGCTTGGAGAGACATAAGGTTGGAAGCAGCAAGGCCGGTTAGGAGATGATGCAATAAGCAGGTAAGACGACTTGAGGCCCTGATCTGAAGCAGTAGCACTGGGCCTAACGAGGACAGCAATAGTTGCAAGAACTGTGAAGCATATTACAAAAATCCACAGAACTTCGTGACTAATGAGCTCTCACGAATAAGGAAGACAAAAGAGTCTCTGTAGGCGCTCAAGTCTATAAATGTAGCACTGGGAGGATGATGGCCATGTTAGAGGGGACACAGGAGGAGGAGGCGGCGATTTGGAGTTCGGGGTGGCAGGATAATGAGCTTGACTGGGAATAGGCTATTTGAAGTACAGAATTCCCACTGAGTGCTCATAAGTCCTTCTTGCATAGACACAATTCACCACAGCAAGCTGAGGTAGTTGCATGGATTACCTTGGACCACCCCTTGTCTCTAGCATCTGGGACATCAAGGTTCCTGCTTACCAAATGCCAAAGGAAAATGAACACAAGAGAAGATCCAGGGCTGGCTGGGACTAGGGGGTTCATTTTCCCATCACTGAATTCACAGACCAAGAAAGCAAAGAATGGCCCTTGCCTGAAACCATCCAGTGTGATAGGCATTAGGGCCACAAGACTGTTCAACTCAGACCAACAGCAGAGGTGTGCATTTTGTCTCAGCCAAAACAGAGTCAAGAGTATCTGTTTCTTGGGTATGCCTTGGAATAAACTCAGTTGGTGGAGTTCTTCTTCCAGGTTTCCCCTCCTGCAAAGCCATTGGAGCTCCCTCCCCTCTAGAAAGCAGACCTCAGGGAACTCATTTTAACTATTCTGGGAGAAGACAGGGACTGGCAGGGTAAGGGATCTAGGCTGGTAGAATTCATTTCTGTTCAATTCAGCTCCCCTGGGCAAATGGCATGGGAATCAAGAAATGAGCTTTTTCTGAATTTCTGAAGCCCTTCCTGGGACACTGGAGAGTACTCTGAAAATACTGCAGGCTGTCTGCAGTTCACCTTCATTCTGGTTTCTGGTTAAGAGCCAGGCTCTAATATTAGGCTCCTGGGGCCCAATTTCTAGCTCTTCAACTTATTGGGTAAACTACTTAACCTCTAAGGTTTGGTCCCCCGGCCCCCGCCACTCTGCAAAATAGGCATGATGAAAACGTTATTATCTAACCCCATAGGGGATTCATTAGGAGGATCCAATAAGATAATGCTTATAAAACACCAAGTACAATGCCTTGGGGTTGTACCCAATAAATGTTATCTGTATTACTGTACTAACTTAGGCCAACTGATCCCAACCCAGGTGCTAGTTACTCATTTGCAAAACAGTGACTAACCCATGGACTGCTAGTGAACTTTATAGCTCTGGCATGCTGTGTTCCTGTATGCACTGGGCATTGAGCCATCTTTGTGGGGGTGGTGGCAGCAGTAGTATTGCTTGTGTGTGTGTGTCTGTGTGTATTTTGGAGAAGAGGTAATAATATAAATAAGATTCTTGAGTGCCTATTGCGTGTCTGGTGGATACTAGGTGTTTTACATGCATTAACTTATGTAATCCTTACAACAACTAGGGAAATAGGTAGTATTATCTCTGCCTTAAAGATGAAGTTCAGAGAGGTTAAGTCAATGCCCTAAGTCACAGTTATTAAGTGGTGGCAAGGCTGGGGTTAGATTTCTAACTCTTCTTACTACTCACAGGCTATGGAGGAACTGCTACAAGCACAAAAGTTATCATTTAAAGCATAGTCAGGTCCACGTTTTAATGTTACAAGAATTCAGGAGGAGGAAGAGAGCAAATTTATATAGGAAAATCCAGGAGGCCAGTATGGAGAAGATAGCAATTTAGGAGGGGCTTTCCACTAACAATGGCCATTCTGGATGGAGACAAACCACATGGACGAAGACCCAAATGTGTGAAACTGTGGGGCATGTTCAGGGGGCATCAAAGAGCCCCTTCAATGACAGGTACATGTTGTTGAGGAGGAGATGAAAGAAGGCTGGAAAAGTCAGAATTGAGCTGTGGAAAACACTGAGAGACAGCTCAAGGCAGGGAGCCCTGAAGGTGGGAAGGAGACAGCATAAGCAGCTGCGAAGAGCCAAAGACTATTTCCCAATCAGAACCTGCAGGAGAGGGTTAGTGCTGTGTCTGGGGTAGCTCCTACCTAGAAGACAGAACCCAAGACTAACGGCTGACAGATACACCAAGCCAGCTGCGCCTATTTCTCCACAGCTGGAATGAAGTAAAACACTCACTACAAGAATGCAAGGAGACTTCCTTCCACAGGGACTCATTTATTTAGCCACCCACTAAGCCTCAGTGATAATCCCAAGTCCCAGAGCATTTCCACCCATTGGAGAGGAGGCCAAGTAACTTAGTACTTAACATTCTGTCTTTGGCATCAGGTACAAGCTCTTCTTCTATTAATAACTTTGTGACTTGGACACAATTCTTAACATCTCTAAGCCTCAGTTTCGTTAACTCTAAATCGGAGGTGATAAAGTTCTCATATGTGGAATTTTTGTGAGGATTAAATGAAATAATGCATGAGAACTGGCTAGCACAGCCTGGCTCATATTATAGCCCAATAATGTTCACTAGTGTTCACTAGCTGTGTTGTTACTCCTTGTGAATATAAGAGATAAATGCCTGGAAACTTGGGGAAGTTTGGATGATCCAGATAAAGCCAGAGAAAGAGCTGGAATGCAGCTCAGGAGTCATTGAACCCCTCAGCCAGGTCCCAACAAGAGATGAATTCCCCAGGTTCACACATAGGTTGGTGTACCAGAGATTCCAGGGAAAAAAAAAAGAAGAATATGGACCCAAACGATCAGAGAACCTCCCTGAAATCCTTGGTAAAAAGGGGCTACTTCTGTAGCCAACAAACCAAGTCTAACATGTGGCTCTGCCTTTTACTAACCAAGTGACCTCAAGCAAGTTATTTATTTCACCACCCCCACCTCAGTTTTCCCATCTGCTAAATGGGGACAGTAATCTCTGCCTGTACATGTGTTGTGAGAACTGAATAAGATGACTTCTGTAGGGCGTTAGGACCCTGATAGCACATGGGAAACTCTCCTTAAATGATAGCTATTGTAATTCTTCTAAATGAAGATCAGGCAAGATAAGATGGGCAGACAAGAGTAGGGAGGTATATTATTCCACTTTCGTGCTGCTAATGCAAACATACCTGAGACTGGGTAATTTATAAAGGAAAGGGGTTTAATTGACTCACAGTTCCACATTGCTAGGGAGGCCTCACAATCATGGTGGAAGGCGAAGGAAGGCTGAAGGGACATCTTACATGGCAGCTGGCAAAGAGAGAACATGAGAACCAAGTGAAAGGGTTTTCCCCTGATAAAATCAGAACTCATGAGACTTATTCACCATCATGAGAACGGTATGGGAGAAACTACCCCCATGATTCAATTAACTCCCACCAGATCCCTCCCACAACATGTGGGAATTATGGGAGCTACAATTCAAGATGAGATTTGGGTGGGGACACAGCCAAACTATATCGGGGGTACACCAGACAATATCAGCAGCTTGACCAAGACTACAGATGGAAAATAAACTGTGGTTGGGAATCAGAGAACCGGATTCAAGTCTAGATATGTTGATAAACAACTAAGTGACTTTGAGTCCTTGGTATGTGATATTTCAGTTCCTCCTGTCTGAAAGTTTCAAAGTACCCTGGACTAATTCACAGAAGGGCTATAGTTTGGGTTCAGAAAGGAAGTGGGCAGGCAGACACATTGTAAATTATAAAACTCTGCCTGCAAGAGCTGGTTTTCTCTCCCTGGACTGAAAACTGCTTGAGGCCAAGACTGAGTCTCCATCTTGAAATTGCCCCTCCCTGGTATAGTAGCTGGTATGGCATGGGTGCCACCACTCTGTGGATGGGAATCACACTGTCCCCACTCACCCTTGGGAATGCCTCCGACTCTGAATACCCAAGGGGTGAAGACCTTCCCCTCTAGCTGACCTAGTTCTACTGGAAACAGCCTTTACCCTGGCAAAAGACAGAGGTCCTAAAGGGAGCCATGTTATTTGGGGGAAAACCCTTTGCTGACTGGCTGGGCCTGGGTTACAAGGATAGGGAGGAAAGAATGAAAAATGAAATCTGCTCCAGAGATTGGGACCAGTGGTTTCCAAGTAAAGCCACAGTGCTCTCGCATACAGAGATACACTTGGAATGGATACTGAAGTCTTAATATAGACTGCCCACATGCCTGTTCCCAAGTGCTGTCAGCAAAATGCTGTCTCTGTTTCCCTCCCAGAGTATATTTTGGAAGCTTAGGACAAGGACACCATCTGGACTTCCCTGCAGTACAGTGAGAGTAATTTGGCTTTCCCTCCTCCTGTCTCCCTTCCCCACTCTCACCCCCAACTCACCTTTCAGTCACAGGACCAAAGATCCTTCTATAAAACAAAATCCACTAGGAAAGAACCAGCTGCATCCACCACAGAAGTGACACTGAATGACCACACAGGGTGCAGCAGGAAGGATGCTACAACCCAAGGTCATTTTTTTGTTGGACCCCTAAGACACTGCAGCCTTCATGAAGATGCTCAGCAGAAATGTGTAGCACAAGAACCTATCATTCTTTCAATTTACCGAAAAGGAAACTGACTTTCCTAGCCACAGCCCTCTATCTGAGCAGGACACACCCATACATACCATGAGGGCTGTTTTCAAATGTGTTGCTGGTATTTGGGATTGACATCATGATGGAAGTACTGCAAGCAATTAGCGGGAGTGGTGCAAAGCTTCCAAAGGCCCTACAAGCATGGACGGTCACACACAATGAAGACTTGTTCAGACCCCACTGTTCACTGGTCTCTAGTAACACTGTCTGGGGAAAAGGGGGAGAGCTGGATGCTGAGATTTAACTTGCAAAGGCCCTTTCATCAGAGTTCATAATTCCTTCTTCAATGTGGTGTGTCCTTGTGGCTCCCTCCCTCCTAGTGGCATATAAGAGCCTGTAAAACAGATGTCATTGTCCTCTAGCATTTGGCTTCATTTCAAATTGCAGCAACAGGTGGGAATCAATGTGACTAACCCCGGATTGTTCAAATTAGTTCCTGAATCAATGCTTTTGTACTTTTCCACATAAATACAGGGACTTTCTTGGTATGTGATATTTCTTGCCATTTATTTTCCAATAATTGGATGAAATGTGTCTTGTTTCTTGGAATAAACTAATACTTTTCTGTATTCACCAAAAGTGGTTTTGTGCTCATTACTCATTTTTGTGCTCTTCTTGGATGCTTTTCCCAATTTTTCAGAAGCCTGTGTTGGGATCTCCTGTTCCTTGCAATCTGAAATGATACATCATTTTCTTATTTGCTTTTTTATTAAGAAAATAAATCATGAAATAATTGGTGGTGCCTTGTATAGTTAAAATCTTAATACTCAGGCAGATATTCAAATTACTTTTGTCAAGTACTGGCATATGAGAGATGTTATTAAATTTGGGTGATTTGATTCCAAGGTTAGGAATGCCTGGCTCACCAAGAACCTAGGCAGGCTCTGGAAGGGCAGGAATAGGGGAAAGTTGGCAGGCAGTTGGCAGTGTAATTTCTGGAAGAATCAGATGCCACAGTGAGGAAATGTGCTATATGGCCAGGCGGCTCATGCCTGTAATTGCAGCGCTTTAGGAGGCCAAGATGGATGGATCACCTGAGGTCAGAAGTTTGAGACCAGCCTGGCCAACATGGTGAAACTTCATCTCTACTAAAAAATACAAAAATTAGCCGGGCATGGTGGTGTGCACCTGGAATCCTAGCTACTCAGGAAGCTGAGGCAGGAGAGTCACTGAACACAGGAGGTGAAGGTTGCAGTGAGTTGAAATCACACAACTGCACTCCAGCCTCTGCAACAAGAACAAAACTCCATCTCAAAAAGAGAGAAAGAGAGAAAAGAAAAGAAAATGTGGTATAGTAAAGGGTCACTTCTCTCTAGAGTTTTCAATTGAGCATTAGAAACAAAGCTGCTGTCATCAACATTCCTTACTCCTGCACGTACACCCACTTCTCCATCTTCACACGTGTGATGACTTTCCACTGTTCTTAGGATAAAGGCAATATTCTTACCCGGGTCTCCGAGACTGAATGCAATCTGTTCTTACCTTTCCTCCTGGGTCAGCCTATCTCATTCCTCTTCCCTTCTGGGCTCCAGCCTCTTCCTCTTACACATGGTCTTCCATGATGCTACAGGACATTTGCACGTGTGCCTTCTACTGCCTCAAAAGTCTTCCCTCTTTTCTTCTCTTCATGCCCAGCACAGTGCCTGGCAAAGGGAAACACATAAAGGTTTGTTGGAAGAATAAATGAGTGAAGGTTTGGGTGGCAGTTCTCAGGTTTGGGATTTTTAGTTTCATTTGAATTTGGTTCAATTTGACCTAAACACAATCAAATGGAGAAAGTCACCAAGTGGCTGCCAGAAGGCCAGGGGACTAAGCTGCACATTGATATATTTTTTGGCCATGGTCCTTGCCTAGCCTTCTTCTCTGTCGATGCAACCAGCCTGGTCCCATAGTCACCCATTTGCAACCCTGGGCATAAACATGCTGCCTACTGAAACTTTGGTTTAAATATTTGGTTTCAATTCTATGTACAGTCACATACCACATAGCAACATTTCTGTCAAAGACAGGCTGCCTATGTGACAATGGTCCCCTAAGATTACAATACCATATTTTGATGGAACCTTTTTCTATGTTTAGATACACAAATGCTCACCACTGCATTGCCTATGGTATTCAGTACAGTAAAATGCTGTGCAGGCTTGTAGCCTAGGAGCAATAGGCTATACCACTTATGTAAACCTAAACCATCTAGGTTTACATAAGTACACTCTATGATGTTCACACAATGACAAAATCACCTAATAACGCATTTCTCAGAATGCATCCTGGTCGTTAAGGAATGTATGACTGTAACTTAGTTGACTTTGATGGAAAGTTAGGAGGCAACATCCTATATTTCCCACCAATGTTTTAGAAGGATCAAAAAACCCTGTCCTTAAAATCTCCATGTTTTCCAGATAAAGACCCTGAGATCTAACAGGGGACAGTGACCTCCCGAGCACACCTACCTACTGAGTGGCAGAGCTGTCATTTAAAACCCAGCCCCTTTGACTCCCAGCCCTATGCACTTTCTAGTCTTCATCCTCACAGTCAATCCACTGCGAGTTTAATGGCTTTGGAACAAACCAGTATGTGTTTCTGCTTTTTATATATCACTCTTTATGCAATTAATGTGTACAAAAGCAAGCCTAGTTTTGTGAACATTTTATCCAAATTCCTATGCAGCCTCATTTATGAGAGGAGAGAAAACCCTCCTCCTTTATCTAATAGAAGTTATGTGTCTATTTTCCATGAATAGGTCAGTTAGGAGAGTAGCCACCTAAAGTGACTCTTCTGAAGTAACCCTGAGTGAATAAGAGGGCTTTGGCAAGCAGTGTGTGAGGATTCCGTCTTTCCTTCCCCCAGGATGGGGACTAACTGTGAAGTGAGCTAGGAAGAGTCTTCTCAGTCAAGCCTTTAGCGTGCATCTATTATTACAAGTAGTGAGAGTCATTGCCCTCGATATTTGACAAATCACATTCCTCTTCAATTTAGTCATATCTGTACCAGTGAAGCTATAAACCTTTATGAATAACTAGAACAGGATAAAACCTTGCACTGTGGTCCCCTGAAATGTCATTCAATCACACTGTGCTCTGGACACCACCTTGCTGAAGCTTTCAGAGCCTTTCTCAGCATTCCAGAGACATGCTTTGGCCCAAATTGTCTCATGATCACCGGGAAGCTCTCTTCCTCATTCACTCCAGAGCTCAGACCTTAGGCAAAAGACATCCCAGGTATCAGGTTGAAGCGTTGGATTCTATTTTGTTTTTTGTACAGTTCGTCCATTTAAGTGAGAAGTAATTCCACGAAAATGGATGTTAATTTGGTTAGATGTATGTAAACATAGGTCGTCCCTATTGAGATGTTCATAGCCCTTTTTTTTTCTACTTCATTCAGTTAATGTACAAGATCACATTGGAAGATTTCTCCATCATTGATTTACCCTTAACTCCTGATATGAGCCCTACTTGATTGTAATAAATTATTTTTAATGCTGTTTTCTACTAGCTAGTATTAATTGGGCTTTTTGCATATATGATTGTAAGATATATCTTATCTTACAGTCTCCCCCTCAGATATCTGCTAGAACATACTTGTAAACCCATCTGGACCAACACTTTTTGTGGGTAGGAGATGACCAAAAATAAGTCTTGCCTTAATTTGAATGAACTACTTAACATTAAATCTCTAAATTAGTTAAAACAAAGCGAGTCTTTAACAGTATTTATGTGGATTCTGGAATGACTTAATAAATACTTAAAAATGCCCTGTACATACCAGTACAGAGGTTCTCAAGGGGCAAACTCCTCTACAGAATTGACAAGAATCCTAAGAGACAAGGTATACAGTTTGAGACATGTTCAGTGTATCTATTTTCATAATATAAGAATACGGCTGCAGAAAGAAAAGACTGGCAAAATCTTCTTGGTAGTCATCTGACAATAAGATAAAGACACAAACATGAATAATATATGGACACTCAAGAAATACAGTCCAAAAGTGTGAATGACCTGACTTTACTGTTATCTATGGAACTTAAGTCACTTCATCATTCTAGGGCCTCCCTCTTTATCTAATCCCCGGCAGCCAGACATTTTTTATAATAATCATTGCAACTCCCATTTAATGAGGGCTTACTTTGTGCCAGGCACTGCATTTGAAGCTCCCTTTATCTCATGTGTACACCTGAGCTCACTTAATCAGCACAATTCTTTGAGTGGTGATGCTGTCATCACAGTTTTGCCTGTGAAAAAGCTGAAGTTCAAAAAGACAAAAAGACCCAGCACTTGAATCCAGAGCCAAATTCTCTTCATCCATGCCCTGTGCTGTGATGAGTTTGAGGTCATAGGAGCATGGGGAGGAAATAGGCAGATGCAGAGAAAAAGAGGGCAAGTTGTAGGACATCAGTGAGGAGGAGCATTAACTAAAATCATCAGAGGTTTCAAAAGAACCTGCAGACCTCACCTTTAATTCTTGCACGGTGGCAGCCACTGCCTAGAAGTCACTTTTGGGAGGATCTAGGTGTCACGGCAGGAGGCTCATCCCGCTCTGGCTCTCAGCAGCTTCTTTAATGAGAAGTGGAAAGGATACAGATGCTTTGGGAAAGGATCATAGAAGAAAAGTTGGCTTCTGGAAGCAGCTATTTCAGAATGTTTCAGAAAAAAAAAAAAAAAAAAAAAAAGCATTACGGAGCATCCCTGATTCTTTGGGTGCTATCTCGTCTGTTTCTCTTGCTTGCTTATACTGTGCCAAGTTCCTGAAAGACGGTGACATTGATTATCTTGTTTCACTCTCAGGACAGTTCTTAGATGCATCCCTATATTACGGATTAAACACTAATTAGAGGAGCTAAGTTACTTGGACAGAAGACTAGCCTCAAGGTCTTGCATTTTCCAGCATGATTCTGCACCCAAATACCTGACTCTATATTTGTGCAAACTGCCAGATAACTTGATGAAAAACATGCTTTAAAATCCAAGTTTTTATTCCAAAAGGGAGAAGTAGAAGAAAAAAAATCCAAGCTTTGTTCTTTTATGGGGGGAAAAATAATTATATTTCACTCTGGTTTTCTAGGTTGCTCTGATAGCCAGACCACATTTTTGGGGTCTTCACTCAATGAAACTATGAAAAAATTCTTATTTTTAGCCATAATTTCATTCCATATCCTACAATGAAGAAAATCTCATCACTGGGCAGACCAGTGATAACTGCCGAACCTTAGGGTGAGAACGTGGCGGTTGGTAAACATCAAACTGTGTTCTCTGCAGACTGTGTGTGCTCTTACACATAAAGACAAACTTGTTAATGACTTTCTATAAATAAGTTCTAGCTTATAATTGTTGTTCCAGCAACAGCTGCTGAAATGTGATCGCCCCTCAAATACAAAACACCTTTCCTTTTTTCTTTACTTTCTTGTAGAAAGACACTATTTGCATACTCTAAAGTATAATGAATAGTCACTGTCACTTTTTGGCCCTGTGACCTCAGAAGAGGTGCTTAACCTCTCTGTGCCTTAATGTCTTCCTTTGCCTATTTTAGGAACAAATGTTGTCATATGCATGAGCTCCTTTAAAATATGAAATATATAGCATTCATCTCTGGACTTCTGGGATCTGGCATAAGATGGGCATTTGGGACCTGTATGTTGAGTAGAATTAAGCTCACTTGAGTTGAATATTCCTTGAAAAGTCTAAAGGACCATAGAAAAGTGACAATAGTAATCATCGTCATTTAAAGGAAAGAGAGCTTAATGCTTAGGTTCTCTCAACATGTATTTTCCTTCTCTCTGTATAGAACACTTACTGGAAAACATACGTCCTGGAAGTTCTTTATTCATCTCCCAAACTTACACCAGCAAGGGTCAGTAAACTACGGTCACAGACCATATATAGCCTTTCTGTAGTTTTACTGGAACCCAGCCACGCCCATTCTTTTATATTTCGTCCGTGACTGCTTTCATACTACAAAAGCAGAGTTGAGTAGTTGTGACACGTACTACATAGCTGACATAGATCCAACTATTTACTATCTGAATCTTTACAGAAAAAGTCTGCTGACCTTTGAATTACAGTGTGAGCCATTCAGAATGCATTTCTCTTTAAAAGTTCTTGCCTCATTCAGTGTCTGAAACACAGTGGGTGCTCCAATAAGTGATACCTTCCTCAAGATTCTTTGAAGAACAGGCACAATGTCAGGATCCACAAAGGATACCTGCACATACCTAACCCCTATTTCTGCAGGAGCTGAGGCTGTATTATCTATTGCTTGTATAATATTGCATAACAACAACAATAATAGCTAATATTGGATGCTTACTGCCTGTCAGGCCCTGGGCTAAGTGCTTTTGTATATTCAGTCTTATAGAATCATCACACCATTCTATGAGTATTAGTTATGAATTATTATTACTATGCCTGTGATAGATGAGAGACTTGCTCACCTAACAGTACCCAGGGGTGAAACCAGGCTTTGCAACCCATATAGCCCAATGTGATACTCAGTGTCTTGGTTCCCATTAGAGATACGCTTTGGAATTCCAGACTGTTCTTTAACCAGCTCAGTCAAGCACCTTTCTCCCCCCATCCCTTGGGACGTCACACTTCATTATACAAGACACAGCCTGCACTGCTTCATTCATTCATTTACCAATTATTTCTGCCTTGATACAGTTAATATGTGCCAGGTACAGTGCTGGGTATAGGGGATGTCATAGGGACGGATACAATAGAGCCCTGGCCTGGATGAAGCCTGATGTCTAGTGAAAGAGGCGAGCATTCCTCAGTCCCACAGTAAATGTCAAGCTAAAACTGTGATATGTATTTTGAAAAGTACAGAGTGCCATGAGAGTGGGTTATGGGGATCTCCCTCAACAGGTGACCCTTGAGCTAAGATACAAAGGAGTTCATAAGCAGGAGTCAAACAGAGAAGGGAGGGAAGGGTATTCCCTCCCTTACCTTCTCTTATTCTTCCCTTATTCTTCTCTGAATAAACGAGCTCACTCATATGACCACATTTGTTCCTAAAATAGGCAAAGGAAGACATTAAGGCACAGAGAGGTTAAGCACGTCTTCTGAGGTCACACGGCCAAAAAGTGACAGTGATTACTCATTTTCCTTTAGAGTATGCACATAGTGTCGTTCTACAAGAAAGTAAAGAAAAAAGGAAAGGTGTTTTGTATTTGAGGGGCGATCACATTTCAGCAGCTGTTGCTGGAACAACAATTAATAAGCTAGAACTTATTTATAGAAAGTCATTAACTTAGGTCCTAAGTTATCCTTAGGAACTTAAGCTTTGCCTCTGGCCCTAAGGGTATTCCCTCCCTTCTCTGTTTGAGGGAAGGGAAGCAATAAGAAACAGGTTCTAGGAAAGGAGGAAGCCCAGTATATAAGAGAGACTGAAAGACCCTGAGCAGAACACAGAAAACAAGGAGATGTGGCTAGAAAAGTCAGGGGACACAGATGTGCATCTTTATGTTACAGGCAGTGTGAAGCCACTGAGGTGTTTAAGCAGGGGTAAGGTGACAGCACTGTCACTCTGAACATCATGTGTGGTCTTCAGTTACAAGGCTTTTCTTTTGTGTTCCCCAAAGGGCTTCTGCTAATGGAGCATCATGCTGAGAAAGGAAATCTAAGGTCTGAGAACACAGCCCGTTGCCCTCTGAGGCATGAGGGGTGAGTTAGCAGCCCCCGGCATGCACTGGTGCCTCACCTTGCTACCACAAAATGAAAACTGTTGAGACCTGTGCAGCTGAAGCTGCTCCCAGCTTAACCGATGACAAGCATGGCTTGTGTCAACTTGGAAGCCTGCTTGCAGCTGGTCTGCTCATTTAACACAGAGGAGTACTTGTCTGTTAGCTTGAAAGCTGAGTTACTGGTCACCAAAGGCCAATGGTTTTCAGGATCCTGCTTCAATTATGTGCACAGGAGAAGCTTTGCCTCTGGTCCTAAGAGAATTCTAGAACATAAGTGAAATTCTTCATCACCCTTTGGATGGAATCAATACCCCTACCTTGGCCTGCCAAGATCTCCACGGTCTTCTCCTGCCTTCCAATACAATCTCTCCTCATACCACTCTCCCTCAGGAGTTGCTCAGTAAACACATGTTGAATGATTGGATCTATGAATGACTGCATAATCATGCAAGACATAGCTCCTCTTTGATCCTCACTGTCTTCATTCTTTAAAGTAACAGGCTGAGAACTAAGGCCTTGGTTTTCTCTAAGACCCCTTCTAAGACTAAGACTCTACAAGATGCCAAATTGGTATTCATTCAGCAAATGCTTGCCAACATCTCCTCTGAGCCAGATCCCATCACTGGGGATGTGATGATGAATATCCATGGCCTTGAGATGTTTGCCCAAAAGTAGAGACAGACACAAGGAGAATAGTTTCAAAATAGCACATGCTCGAGTCTGAACTCCAATAGTCACAGGAACTGGGCGCAATCCCAGCTCTTCCACTGTCTCTCAGAGGCTTGGCGTCCCCATGACTCAAATGGAAAAATGGCACTAACTCATGGAATTTTTCAAGAATTCAATGAGATGTTCTTGCTGGCATCATCTCTGGCACAAAGAGGTGCTCAACAAATGTTGGTGATGGTCGTCAACAAGTGGTGATGATGACTAACTCTGACGATGATATTCAGCACACACGTGACTGTACCTGGTGTCTGTGGTTTACATCTGTTCTGATCACCCAGTCCCCATGCCATCTTGGTTGCAGAATATTTTGAATTTTGATTAGTCAGAGTTCTCTAGACAAACAGAATTAATAGGATATATATCCAGATACATAAGAGGAGATTTATTATGGGAATTGGCTCACACAATTATGGAAGCCAAGAAGTCCCACAATATGCAGTCTGCAAGCTGGAGAACTAGGAGGGAGCTGATGGTGTAATTCCCAATCCCAAACCACAGGGAGAGAGGTGTTGGAAGTCCCAGAGTCTAAAATCTAAAGACCCAAGAACCAGGAGCTTTGATGTCCAAGGGCAAAAAAAGAGGGATGTCCCAGCTCAAGGAAAAAGAGAGAATCCTCCAACTTTTTATTCTATTAATATCTGCAATAGATTGGATGCTGCCCACCCAAAGTGATAGGGCCAGATCTTTTTTACTCAGTCTACTGGTTCAAATGCTAATATCTTCTAGAAGCACCTTCACAGGCACACCCAGACATAATGTTTTTCCTACTATCTGGGCATCCCTTTGCCCAGTCAAGTTGCCATATAAAATTAACCATCACAAACTTGCCTCCTGGATGACAGCACTGAGGAGAGGAGAGAGGAGCTTCACTTGGTGCTCAGAGTCAGTGCTTCATGGAAGGAGCCCTGGAGAAGATGAGACACAAAGAGGATCATTTCAAAATAGCATGTGCTTGAGGGTGAACTCAAATAGTCGTAGGAACTGGGCACAATTCCAGCTGAACTATAAGGTAAATAAGGGTAGGGAAGACTTCCTCAGTCCCCTCTTTGCCCTCCTCCACATCAGAGAGATCTTTCAAAAGTGCACATCGGTTCAATTGGTTTCTTCTTTAACACCTGTGACTTCCTATTGTGTTTAGAATAAAATCAAAGCCCCTCACCATGATCTACAAAGCCTTGCATGAACTGGTTCCATCTTGAGCCACCTTCATCCTTTC